CAAATCAAAATTCAAAGCCCAACATTTTTGAATAAACACAAACTGCCAAAAGACCAGTCAATTTCTTACACCTGTGGAAATAACTGACCTGACCAAGAAACAAACGCAACTCCTGTGTAATTCTGTTCAGCATCTGTAGGTTCTCATAATCCTAAAATCTTCATTCGTAGTCTATGCTTCTTTGATGAGAAAATAATGGAAGGTCTTCTGAGGGATCTTATATGCTTAATCTCGTTCTCCATTATAAGTGGAGCTGCTGCAGTAGACACTATTGTTCCGAGTAAATCAATGAAAAATGGTGAAACTCTAGTTTCATCCAAGGGACGCTTTGAGCTTGGATTCTTCAGAAGGTCCAAGGGTCAGTACTTGGGGATATGGTACACGAAACCAGAAACTCAGACAGTTGTGTGGGTAGCTAATAGGGAAAATCCTCTTTCAGCTGGGGAAGGGGTGCTGGTACTGAACTCAAAGGGAACTCTTGCTCTTCTTAATAGAACAAAGGGTGTCATTTGGTCATCCAATACATCAAGAAGTGCAGACAGGCCAGTTGCTCGGCTCCTGGAGTCAGGCAATCTTGTGGTGCAGGATGAAAAAAAATATAACTTAGAGAACTATCTGTGGCAAAGTTTTGATTATCCTTCTGATACATTACTACCGGGAATGAAGGTTGGAAAAAACTTAAAAACTGGGTTTGACAGGTATTTATCTTCCTGGAAAAGCACAGATGATCCAGCTCCAGGTTTATATTCAGTACGTATAATCACTCAGGGGGTTCCACAATTAGTAATTGAGAAGGGACCTAAAATTCAGTACAGCCAAGGGCCATGGAATGGTATTGCTTTTGAAGGGCGTACTAGTAAGCTAAATCCCTTAACATCCCCTCAATATGTGTTGAATGATGTAGAGGTATATTTTATGTACGAGCTTAAAGATAGCTCAATTGAAACAAGGTTGGTGTTGAATTCATCTGGCCTTGTCAAGAGCTTTCTATGGAGAAATGGAGATCATGATTGGAAGCTTGGGATGATGCCTTCACCTGACATATGCGACCAGTATGCCTTCTGTGGAAAATTTGCTAAGTGCAATATCAATAGCTCTCCTGTATGTTCATGCCTGGAAGGATATTTTCCCAAATCTCCAGTAGATTGGAATTCAGGAAATTGGTCTGGTGGGTGTGTTAGAGATGCACCCTCGGATTGTGGAAAAGATGTGTTCATCAAGCATACAGCGTTGAAATGGCCAGATGCATCTAATTCCACAGTAAACATGACAGTGAACCTCAAGGACTGTGAGGAAATGTGTTTGACGAACTGCTCCTGCACAGCATATACAGATGCAGATGTCAGATTTGGAGGAAGTGGCTGCTTGATGTGGTTTGGTGACTTGATTGATATACGAGATCTCCCATCAGTAGGACAAGACCTCTATATACGGCTGGCACCTTCAGACAAGGGTACCTTCTCCTTGGCTTCTTTTCTTTGTTGCCCTCTACTTTAACTATTCCTTCAATGAAGATTATACTTCTTTGAACTCTTCATTATTATAAACTTGTTTCTAGACTCAAACAGATGTCCATCAGCTTAACTTTCAATCTTTCAGCTCATCTTACGGGGACAAAGAGATTGAAGGAGTGGAAGAAAGCAACATTCATAGCGAGCTTTGTCATGATTGGCACATTAATCCTAATATTGGGCTTTGTTTTCTGTTTAAGGAAGGAAATACACAGAAAAGGAGGTAATATTACTCTTCCAATTTCTTGTACTTGTTGGTGTTGTTGTCAGAGGAATTTGAGTCTTAGGTTTCTAGCCAGAAAAAGTTGCATCATGATGAAAGTTTGATCATTTGTCATTTGATTTGAATGATGCACCTTTTGATACCTACGTCCTTGGCAAAATTTCCTCTATTTCAGGACTGAAAAAAAGGCATTTCAGAAAGGATTACATGAATGATGGAGAAGAGGAATTGATGTTGTTGCCGGTGTTTGATTTTGAAACTATAGCTAGTGCAACAAATAACTTTTCAAGCAATAACAAGCTGGGACAGGGTGGCTTTGGTCCTGTGTACAAGGTAACACAAATACATCTTAATAGTCTTCTAAAATGACATTTCTTTCTAATAACTGATTAACTTCTGATCTCTGAATTGTTATTGTAAAGGGTACATTGTTAGAAAAGGAGCAAGACATAGCAGTGAAGAGGCTATCAAGGAGTTCAGGACAAGGACTTCAAGAGTTCAAGAATGAAGTTATCTTGATTGCAAAGCTTCAGCATCGAAATCTTGTTAAGCTTCTTGGTTGTTGCATTGAAGGGGATGAAAAAATGTTAATCTATGAGTACTTGCCAAATAAAAGTTTGGACTACTTTATTTTCGGTTAGATTTCTCTTACCCCTAACCTTTAATCATCCTTTTTCAAACTCTCCTGTAAGTATTCAAATATTTATTGTACTAACATAGAGGAGAAATGGGTCAGATAAAGAAAAAAGCAAGCTATTAGACTGGAACAAACGTGTGAACATTATTGGTGGAATTGCTCGAGGACTTCTTTATCTTCATCAAGATTCTAGATTGAGGATCATTCATAGAGATCTCAAAGCTGCCAAT